ATGGCGGGTAAATCACCTGAGCTCAGGAGTTGGAGACCAGCCTGAGTAACATGGTGAAACCCTTCTCCAAAAAATACAAAAATTAGCTGAGCATGGTGGTATGCAACTGTAGTCCCAGCTACCTGGGAGGTGGGAGAATCACCTGAGCCCGGGAGGTTGAGGCTACACTGAGTCATTATCAGGCTACTGCACATTGGCCTGACCATCAGAATGAGACCCTGTCTCAAAAAATAAATAAATAAATAAAAGAAAGAAAGATGAGTCATTACAACTGATACCACACAAAGAATAATAAGAGACTACTATGAACAATTATAGAATAACAAATTGGATAACTTAGAAGAAACAGATTCTTAGAAATGAATGGCTGACCAAGATTAAATCATGAAGAAACAGAAATACTGAACTGACCAGTAATAAGAAAGGAGATTGAAGCAGTAATTAAAAAATCCAATGAGAAAAAGCCCATGACCAAATGACTTTATGGGTGACATGTATCATACATTTAAAGATGAATTAATGTCAGTCCTTCTCAAATTCTTCCAAAAAATTGAAGGGAAAAACCATTGCCATTGCCCCTTAGTTTGCATGTAAGGAAAAGTGGGCATGTAAGTACACGGCTGCAGAACTGCTCCTCTCAGCACACTGCCTACAGGGGAGCCTTGTTCCACAGGAGCAGTCACAGAGCTGCAACACCGCCAGCTCAATAAAGCTGTTTTCTTCTACCACTAGCTTGTGCTTCAATTCTTCCTGAGTGAAGCCATGAACCTTGCCAGGATAAACCCCAATTGGGGGCTCACTTGCCCTGCAACAAGAGCAGTTAGGTAAGAAAAAGAAATAAAAGGCACTCACATCAGCAATGAAGAATAAAAATTATCTTTGCTTGCAGACTAGGTGATTTTATATATAGAAAACCCTCAAGAGTACACAAAAAGAGATAGAGCTAATACACCCATTCAGTAAAGTTGAGGTCACAAAATTAACATGCAAAGATTAGTTGCATTTCTATATACTAACAATAAATGATCTGAGAAGAAATGCAAAGCAAAAATCCAATTTATAATAGCATCAAAAAGTATAAAATTCGTATGACTCCATTTAACAAAGGAGGTGAAAGATCTGTAAGATATTGATGAATGTAATTGAAAAAGACACAAATAAATGGAAAGATAACCCTTGTTCATGGACTGGAAAAATTAATACTGATAAAATGTCCACACTACACAAAGTGATCTACAGATACAATGCAATCCCTATTAAAATTCCAGTGTCAGTTTTCACAGAAATAGAAATAAATTCTAAAATTTATTTAATTTTATATATATATATGTTTTGAGACACAGTCTTGCTGTTGCCTAGGCTGGAGTGCAGTGGGGTGATCTTGGCTTACTGCAACCTCTGTCTCCTGGGTTCAAGCAATTCTCTTGCCTCAGCCTCCCCAATATCTGGGATTACAGGTATGTGCCAATATGACTGATTAGTTTTTATATTTTTAGTAAAGATGGGGTTTCACCATGTTGGCCAGGCTGGTCTTGGACTCCTGGCCTCAAGTGATCCGTCTGTCTCAGTTTCCCAAAGTGCTGGGATTACAGATGTGAGCCACTGCATCTGGCCTTCAAAGTTCTATAAAACCACAAATGACCCCAAATAGCCAACACAATTTTAAGAAAGAAGAATAAAGCTGAAGGCATCACACATCTTCATTCCAAACTATTACAAAGCTATACTAATCATGACTATTATACTGACCTAAAAAGACACATAGACCAATGGGACAGAATAAGGAAACCAAAAATAAACCCATGTGTATACACAGTTAGCAATCTTTGACAAGGGCACTAAGATACACAATGGGTAAAGTACAGTCTCTTCAATAAATGATGCTGGAAAAGGTGGATATTCATGAGCAAAAAGATGTGATTGAACATTTATACCACATATAAAAATGAACTAAAAAAAAAATTAACACTTAAGTGTAAAACCAGAAACTGTATAACATTTAGAAGAAAGGAAACAAGTTCTTAGACATTTGCCTTGGTACTGATTTTTTTTTTTTGAGACGGAGTTTCGCTGTTGTTACCCAGACTGGAGTGCAATGGCATGATCTTGGCTCACCGCAACCTCCGCCTCCTCGGTTCAAGCAATTCTCCTGCCTCAGCCGCCCGAGTAGCTGGGACTACAGGCGCGCATCACCATGCCCAGCTAAGTTTTGTATTTTTAGTAGAGACAGGGTTTCACCTTGTTGACCAGGATGGTCTCGATCTCTTGACCTCATGGTCCACCTGCCCCGGCCTCCCAAAGTGCTGGGAATATAGGCGTGAGCCACCGCGCCTGGCCGGTACTGACTTTTTAGATTTCGCACCAAAAAAGCACAATTAACAAAATCCAAAAACAGGTGTGACTACGTCAAACTAAAAGTGTCTGCATAGCAAAGGAAACAAAGAACAACATCAAAAAGCAACCTAAGGACTGGCCTAAGGACTGGCCTAAGGACTGGGAGAAAATCTATCTCATAAGGGTTTCACATCAAAATATGTAAGAATTTCACACAACTCAACTGCCAAAAAAAGTAAACCTGACTTAAAAAGATGCAAAGGACCTGATTAGAAACTTCTCCAAGGATGACATAAAAGTGTCAAACAGGTTTAAGAAAGGTGCTCAACATAAATAATCATCAGGGAAATGCACATCAAACCTCAATGAGACATCACCTCACATTTACAGAGAGGTACCACAGTGAGATATCAAATCATGAGATATCACCTCATACTGTTAGAATGGCTATCAAAGACACGAGAGATCACAAATATTGGTGACTGTGGATAAAAGGAAACCTCATACTGTTGGTGGAAATGTAAATTGATCTAGTCATTATGGGAAAAAGCATCGAAGCGCCTCAAAAAATTAAAAACAGAAGCACCATATGAATCTGCAATCCCACTTCTAAGTATATACCTAAACGAAATACAATCTGGCGGGCTCAGTGGCTCACGCCTGTAATCCCAGCATTTTGGGAGGCTGAAGTGGGCAGATCACTTGAGGCCAAGAGTTCAAGACAGCATGGCCAACATGGCGAAACCCTATCTCTACTAAAAATACAAAAAAATTAGCCAGGCAGGTTGGCACATGCATGTAATCCCAGCTACTCAGGAGGCTGAGATGACAGAATCGCTTGAACCCAGGAAGCAGAGGTTGTAGTGAGCAGAGATGGTGCCACTGCACTGCAGCCTGGGAAACAAAGTGAAACTCCATCTCAAAAATAAATAAAATCAGTGTATTAAAGAGATATCTACACCACTATGTTCATAGCTGATTATTCACAATATATAGTGGAATATTACTCAGTGTAATGAAGAAGGTAATTGTGTCATTTTTGACAACATATGGATGAATAGACCAAGTGGACATTATGGTAACTGAATAAGATAGAGAAATACAAATACTGTATATTACCAGTTATTTGTAGAATCTAAAAAAAGTTGAGCTCGTGGAAGTAAAGTGTAGGATAACAGATCCCAGCAGCTAAGAGGTGGTAAAAACAGGGAGATTCTGGTCAAAGAGTACCAACTTTCATTTAAAGGATAAATAAATTCTGGGGATCTGATGTATATACTTGTAAACTATATGTCTGTGAATGTACTTTACAATACTCTTGTATACTTGAGATTGCTAACACAGTAGATCTTAAATATTCTCTCCACAAAAAACCTAGCAACTATATGAGATAATTAATGTGTTAATTAATTTTATTGTATTAATCATTACACAATGTACACACATACAAAATCAAATTATCAGGATGTATCCCTTAAATATATATAATTTACAATTGTGGGAAAAAATCCACATGAAAGGAAGCAAGGAAAACAAAAGGAAAAGAAAGAAAATGAATATAACACATACTCATTAAGCTTCACACTTAACCAGATAAAATTATAAAATGTTATTAAATATGAGTTGAGAGGTTACTATATACTGGGCAATGTACTGAGCTCCCCATAGACATTCATTTAGTTAAGAATTCTACATAATAAGTAACATATTAAATGATTTTATATCTGTGGACTTTGTGCATGTAGAGCTTACTAATCTTAGTTTAGGCTAGGAAAGATGAAAAGCTGAAGTGAAATACAAGATCAGTTTTTTTTATATTTAGGAAAATGCTTTGTGCTCTGATGAAATTACTGAGTCTCAATTTTTGTAGGATCATCTTGGAAACCACTATAGGATTAGAAATTCAAATATCAGAAAATATGTGACATCTGTCCACAGAATTCCTGGAACTTCTAAAAGAAATCCCACTTTCCATCACTGCTCTCACACACTTCTGACATGAGGCAAAAACAGAACTTTAAAAATGGTTTCATGTAGAGGTGGAAACAGGCACAGACTTCCCCAGAGCCCCCAAATCAATGGAAGAGCAGCCAGATTACGCAGGCCCTCACAGGCCAACGGGAGCACTTTAGCTGTCACTATGAATTCGATGGTGGATCACAGAAGGTGAAGGAGAATCATTAGATAATTTCAGAGTGGCTGGGTACGGTGACTCACACCTGTAATCCCAGCACTTTGGGAGGCCAAGGAGGGTGGATCACGAGGTCAAGGGATCGAGACTGTCCTGGCCAGCATGGTGAAACTCCATCTCTACTAAAAAATACAAAAATTAGCTGGGCATGGTGGCATACGCCTGTAGTCCCAGCTACATGGGAGGCTGAGGCACAAGAATTGCTTGAACCTGGGAGGCGGAAGTTGCAGCGAGCCGAGATTGCGCCACTGCACTCCAGCCTGGCAACATTGCGAGACTCTGTCTCAAAAAAAAAAAAAAGATAATTTCAAAGTGTGAGACAGAAGATATCCCTCTGCGACAGCAAGAGAAATAAACTCAGGCATTTCAAAAATCATCTCCACGGGAGAACTTCCCAATCCACACTTCGATGTCTGGTTCTTTCCTGACCTCTGGACCTCTCACTCATGTCACCTATTCATTCACTCCCGCCTACCTGGCTGGATGGCTACTGTCTCTGCACTCTTCACATTCCAGGGCTCTTTCCTTTGCTCCAAAAAGGTGATCAGGTCCGGCTTAGAGACAGCAAGGCCTGTTTTATGAGAAAAAGTCACATGACTCTTGCTGGGCGTTCTTTAATTGCCAACTCAGTAGAATACTCAGTAAAGAGGGAACATTATAGAGGATTCTAGAAAATTACTTCCCCAAATCTGTTTCCTGTCAGCTTCTTTAAAATATTTAGAAAGTATTTTAAATATGGGAATCCTGAGATTCACTTCCAAGTATGACTGAATCAAAAATAAGAAGAAGGAATTGGATTTTAAACTGTGGGCAATGATAAGTTTATATCACTCAATTTCTAGAATCACCACTAAACTAGAGTGAAGCTTGCACATCACCCCAGAAAGAAGGCAAAAATATTAAGATCAAACATTAGGAAGTTTTTTTTCTACAACAAACCCACATTTTTTTTTTCCTGGAAGTAGGAATCTGAGTTCATTCATATAAAGCATAAGCTCCAAGCATAAGCTCCCAGACATTCTACAAAGGAAAGAAATAAAACCCTTAGTTATTAGATATTAGACATTCCAAAGCCAAGTTATCCTCACCCAGACAAACCAGGTTTCTGTAGTTCTCTAACATCACATCCCCATACAAATTCTTCTGATTTGAGTCCAGGTGTTCCCACTCCTCCAGAGAGAATTCTATGGCCACATCCCTGAATGTCAGCAGTCCCTGAAATAAAAATAATTAACACATTGACCATGTGGCCACGGGCAGTCTTCATCACTTGATCCAAGATGAAATAAGAGAGTTAAGAGAACTGACTGATTTATGAGTGACCTGAAATATTCAATAAGACACTTTTAAACACAGTAATATTTTCTAGCATATTCTCTAACTGTGGAAAGAGAATGATGTAAGATCCACAGAACCAGTGTAGATTCTATGCCTATGTGGAATATAAAATATAAAACTAAGGCATCAAGGGCAGGTGCAGTGGTTCATGCCTGTAATCCCAGCATTTTGGGATGCTGAGGTGGGAGGATTACCCGACATCAGGAGTTCAAGACCAGCCTGGTCAACATGATGGAACCCCATCTCTAATAAATGCAAAATATTAGCCAGGCCTGGTAGCGGACCCCTGTAATCCAAGCTACTCAGGAGGCTGAGGCAGGAGAATCATTTGAACTGGGACGTGGAGGTTGCAGTGAGCCAAGATCACGCCATTGTGCTTCCAGCCTGGGCAACAAGAGAGAAACTTCATCTCAAAAAACAAAAACAAACAAAAAAACCCCAAAAATAAAAAACTAAGGCATCAACATAGGAATATATATTTTTGAGAGTTATATTTACATGATCTACAATCAGTTGTATATAATTGTCAGGTGGAAAAGTCGTGGTGACTTAGGGGCATACTTCGTAAATTTTATGGTATTCAACAATAAACTGGAGAACTTGTTCAAATGCAGATTCTAATTCAGGAGGTCTGGGGTTTGGGCTGAGTTTCCGCATTTTTAACAAGCTCATCAGTGATGCCAATGCCTCAGGTCCAGAGGCCACACTTTTGAATAGTAGAGAGGTAGAACACTGAGGAAAGAATTCAGAGATGATGTAGAATTGAGAGTTTTATGAAATTTACAGGTTATAACATAATAGCAAGAACAGTAGAATCCTTTTTGAACATTTACTATATACTAGATGTCATCCTAGCAGTTCTTCATGTATTGATAAAACCATAAAAATAATCTATGTTAGAAACAATAGTATTCTTCCTCTTTTATAAAACATTTTGCCAACCAGCCCCTGCTCTGAAGCCTGAAAATTTCTTTTTGCCAAATATCTAGTACATAGTAGAGCTTATATTTTACCCAGTATGTAACTTAGAATTCATTTTAAAGGGACACGCAGGCCAATATGCAGAGACAACCATAAAAGAATGTTCAGAGCAGGTGTCATAATTGAGAATGATGACAACAGGAAGGCAGCAACACAAAACTGATCAAATGCTGCTGACGTCATAAGCACACATGTACATAGAAACGGTAACTATACACACATGATAAGTGACAGGACATTTCTTAATAAAATTAGGAAATATTTTAAATTGTGTTAAAACTATAAAACTTTTCGTGAATGATCCCTTTTTCTGTTTTTTAAACAAACTATGAAGACCAATACATACAATGATATGAACTAAAATAAGAGCTTGTTTTTCTGAGTCTGTTTTTTTTCCCCCAAGTTTTTATTTTTTCTATGTGCTGTGTTATATTTTAGAATTTTAAGATAATAGACATATTAATTACATGTTAATTGTCATCTTTCTCTGAAAATACAGAGAATAAGGAGAGTATGCTGTGATATGAGTAAAATAAAAGGAAACCTACAGAGCTCAGCCTTGTTTCAGAACTTACAGTTTCAAAAACTGGGATCTACAGTCAACAAATGTGAGAGCCTTCACTTTCTAAAGCAACCTACAAGCAAAGGGAAGCTAAAAAGTAATGAGAGTCTCTGGATTCGACATGATGGTTTATACGCATCTCTCAGTAAATCTTCCCTCCTAGATACTCATTAACAACAAAGAGAAAAATAACTAAGTAGTGAAGGAATCTGGCAGAGAGCACCTGAACCAGGTGAATGAAGTTAGCATCGGCTGTAATGAGATGAATTGGTATCAGTGCTGACTCACAGATGGACCCATAATCACTGCTGTGATACTAGTGAGGGAAAAAAGTAAGTCATAATCAGAACATAATAATAAACAGGACCTGGGGGG